CTAATATCTGGCCATAATTTCCTCCAAGTTCCATTTGGATGTAAGGAATTCTAACTCACCTTCTGGAATGCGTCAAAATCATATTTTAAAATGTATTTATTTAATATGGAAAACAATAAAATCTTCATGAGGTCTCTGAGAAGGAGAATGTCGTGCAGAAAGTCAGAGACTTAAGAACATCACGAAAAAACCGATTAATTAAGAACAATTAAGATGCATTGATCCAGAAGCAAACAATTAGTGTTTAAAAGCATATATAATCTTTTAAAATTTTATATTTAAAAAGTAATAGAGTTGTATTATAGTATTATTAAATACATATTATTTTCAATTTGGATAATTAATGTAGTCTTGAATTATATAAAGCGAGTTAATCCAAAGCCGTTGTGTTGAAGCCATTGCCACGACGCCTCAATTCACAAAGTCACATTGACTGCGTTAAATAATCAGAGAAACTATGAGTAACAATGTGGAAAATGTACTACTTACGTCGACGTTCATCTCTTGTCAATTTTGAACCATTGAAGATATTACAAAGCAGAATTCAGTAAGTTCCTAAGGAAAAGATTCTGAAAGGTACATGTATTATACATATTTACAACTTGTATTTTGAATTTAAAATCACCTCAACTATACGATCTCGAAGTTTTCGTGATTAAGGTTCTGTTGAACTCTAACTTCGCAAACACATCGGAATTAACGAGCTAAGACCTACCATCAGTGTCCCAGCATTGTGGCCACGAGTTAAGGGGTACGTGTGATTTGCACATAGGCATTTCTACGCTGTATTCTGGTCTTCTCAAACCCAAAAATCCGAATGTCTGTTTATAATAACGCGTAACCAGGAGCGTCAAGAAGGGGGGGGGGCGCTGCGACCTCCAGACCCCGACTTATTTGGGGCCCCCCAAAATTGGGGAAGGAGGGAATTTTTCATTTGAAATAAAGAGGCCCCTTGGATCATTTGTCCCAGACCCTTGAATTTCTCTCGACGCCCATGCGCATTGCTGTTAGATTATATTAGATTTATGTATACGTTAGCTTCTGGGGCTCGAATCCATCAATTCTCGGCTATCCGGGAGAAGCCTCACTGCCCTGAGGAAGCCTGCGACTTGTCAGGCAAAACTTCGGCACCCCAGCCAACGACGCGGCGTCTCCCGGATAGCCGAGAATTGATATATTAGATTGAACTGATAAATGGTGTACATGATGCACACGGCGGGATTAAGAAATAGTTGTGCCGATCCGAACCAAAAAACCTAGATGCTGACTACACAATATATTCGAGGAAGTAATATATTTTATTACATTTATTTGTAGTATCAAAAAGTTTACTTACTTTTTCGGTATCACGGGCACACACTATGAGATTTTCTTTCGAATAATTACCACTTTCCGCTGCAGCATAAAATACTATCTCTTTACAAGTCTATAAGAGGCGAGGAAGTTAAAAGCATGCAATAACCTCATTTGTTCAAGCAATTGTGTGGTCAAGTTAATTGATTGTGATTCCAGGCGTGTCAACAACTAAGGTCATTAGTTCCGTAAGTGTAGCGATATCTCCTTGAGAGGTGACGGTGATCTTCCCACGCTGGATGTCTAGATCCGGCGTCGAGTACCGTCGGCTAGCGGGGTTTTCCCTAACAAAGTATCTCCCGCCAGTGAAAATAGAACAAGGAAAAGGAAGGAAAAATCGCGCGCGGTCCATGGCCCGTACTGCTCTGGCATTTGCCAAGTTTTGATTGAAGACACCACGGAAAACTACCGATCAGAGCAACCGGCTGTTAGAATTCTCATCCAGAAAGCTACTGAATTTGAGATAGCTGTCAAGCTGTCGACCTAGCTGCCATGCTGTCAACCTAGCTAATTAAGATAGTGCTGAAAATCTTGCCACCGTTGGAACTCAAACCTAGGACCTCCAGATTAGAGGCACTGCAGTGGCAACAATTGATGCCCTGTGCCACCTCTCCCAGTTGGTGTAAACGTAATTGTAATAACTTCTACAGTATAAAAATTGACAAAATGTGTTTAATCATGTGTTACATCCTTTATCCGAGAACCGTAGAAATACGCAGTTCATAACTTTTCTTTTTTACTCGAAATTAGAATAAAATCACAGTAGAGTATTTTAATATTTATTAAGAATGCTAATATGAACAATATTATGTGAGTTTGGATAAACGGAATAGTTTTCACTACCACGTGAGAACTGAATACTACTAAAACGGTTTACCTATGCAAATGTTGCCTGATGATATACTTCATTTTTAAATAGCAAAGGTGTATATTCATTTTAGTACTTTTAAAGTACCTTTCGAGAATAATATCCACGTGTTTTGATGAAGCAATGACTGTGCAAATCGCATTTGTTGGGGACCTCGTGAATATCGCCACCCGGATGTTATCTGACCTGGATATCCGGTGTGCATTCATTACACTAAGTATAAACTCAAGAGGGCAGCTAAAAGCATTCATCAGATGCATGCGAATGTTTTTTACGTGAAAGTATTTTAATTTTTATGTAACTATTGTTCGCAAATGGATCAAATTGCTAAACACGCTTGCAAGAAACGACATTGACAATTGTCAGAATGATCAAGCTATAATATTTCAATTCACATTCAATATTATGATAATGAAAAATTATTCTCGTTTTTTTATACGTAGCATAAATTTTAGTGTTACACTGCAGTAAAAATGCCATTTTTTTGTTATCTGGTACCCAAATATCAACAAATGATTGCTTATAAATAATGTAAATTCCACTTTGGGATACGTTGTGTAGCCAATAACCAAATTTGTTGAACCTTGATTCTGAAAAATGTATTTTTGGCAAAACGGCTGACTGTCCGTTTACTCTTTTGTCTGTGAACACCACTGGCGCAAAAACTGTTCACAGGATTTTCTCCAAAATAGATATTTCTCAATTGATCTATTCGAACTCGAGGTTCTGCTCATTTATTGGCCCATGATGTTTTAATTTCCGGGGGTACTTTTCATAAAAACTCTACCTTCTTTTCAAAATTTTCTGGAAAACAAGGCTCCAAATATTTTTTAACAAAACCTCAAATTAATTTATTTAATAGCCCCGCTAGTTCAAATTTAAACTTTATAATAATTAATATTTCAGAATGAAAGTTGCAGTTATACATGCCTCACTACATCTAAAATATGGTTGTTACACAAATAAATGAATTAAATTATGAAATTTTGTCGGAATTTAATCTGGCAGATCTCATGCCACATTTCTGAGACTCAAACCATTTAATTGATTTATTGGTTATTGTTTCTTTGGTAGAAGACTGGACTTCAGTAGAGATGTTCCATGTACATTTTTATTGTATCTCGATATATTATTGTGTTATAAGTGCACACAATTTCCAAGCAGGTTTTGAGAAATAAACTTCGGAACTGAGAAATCGTGCAGGGTACTGTAAACCCCGCTGTAAGCATTGGTGTAACAAAACGTAGACACAGTTGCATCTGAATATTGGGTATTGAATTGAGGTTTAGTCCTACAGTTGTAATAACTTTAACACATTCTGAGTTATATTTTAAATAACTGAAAAAATATAAATAATTGAAATTGAATATTTTTTTACAAACAGGAAGGAAATGGATGTTGGCTTTGGGTGAGTTCTGAAATTAATACTTAGAATAATCTTTGATTCTAGGTGAAGATGATTTACAAGAAAGGGGAAATACAATGGTACACTAAAATGCAGTAGTGAAGAGGAACAAAGTCCATATAGTTAGAATGTGTGCTATTGAAAGTTTTTGAGAAATTTGAGGCGCAAACTACATTATAAAGAATGTCACTGCCTTGTAATTATAAATTAAAATTATTACATCAATAACTTCAATAACTTCAAGTTTATATGCCGCTATATTTCAAGAATATATGTCTTTAACTTGTCATAAATTAACGGTCCGCTATGCAGTTGAAGCAAGTGGTTTTTGATCCAACCATTTGCTAGATTTGCAAATAAAGAAATTATATAGGGAAGCAGTCTTAAAACGTTTTTGACAGATCTCAATTATTAAAAAACAAAAAAACGCTTGAGTTATGATTAACATTACTATTTAGCATGCATTATTATTCTGTCAACATTTGAAATAAATGCATTTACTCTCTTGCAATTTTGAACTCAGATTTTTCTACTAAAATGTTGCTTCATATACTAGAGTTTAAACTTGTGTGTTTATAAATGTTTCCAATAAGAATTGCCAGAACATTAGAAATAAGAGCTATAAATTAGATTCAGATAGTTACCCATTTTTATCACAAACAATTAACTGAACAATACTAATTTCTAAACATGTTCCTTGGATTCACGCGTTCGGCATTGACCCTGAACTTAGCAGAGAGGATGGGAACCATTTGCTTGCAATTGAATTAATTTCAGTCCGTGAAGACATATTGATACATATGGCCTTCTCCCTCCCCTTTTCTTCCCCTCCCCTCTCCCACCTTCAATGCCAAGTCAAACTTCTTCCGTTGTCACAAGTGTGTCGAATGTCACCTCATTCTACGCAACCCCCTCCGTCTTACACACACGCGCACACCCACTGACACACACTCAACTCAACACGCACGTCCTTAAGCGCACATGCGACCGCTTCCTCGATAAAAGGCCCACCACGCAACGCAGCGCTCCTCCTTGGGAATGACTGGCATTACGCAGATGAGTGCAGTTGTGAACAGTAGTGCGCAATTCAGCCAAGTAAAACTTCGTTTGCAATTCGGAGAACGTGTCTACAGTTGATCGAAATTGTGCACTGTGGAAAGCAGTTGTACGTAGTTTAGCGAAATTGTGCACTGTTGAGGACAGTTGTGCGCAGTTGAGCGAAATTGTGCACAGTTCAGGACAGTTGAACGCAGTTGATCTAAACTGTGCCCGACCGAGGCCAGTAGTACGCAGTTGATCTAAATTGTGCACAGTTGAGCGCAGTTGAGGGTAGTTGAGTGTAGTTGAGAGAATCGGTGCGCGTTTGAGCAGAACATGGCCGCCGTGAACGGGGACATACGGATCGCGGTGCCTCGGAAGCACTGGCCGCCGCAAGCGCTGGACCAGGAAGTGGACGAGGAGGCGCTGGAGGGGAAAACCATGCTCGCCGGGCCAGGCAAGTTGCTCTTGTACTCCAGGTGGTCCAAGGATCTGGAACTATCACGGCACTGAAATGCAAAGAAAATAATGATTACTATAAATAAGAATTATATGTATATATTATATATTATCCATTCAGTATTAGATATAATTCTTGTGTATAGTAATCAATTTATGATATTATATTATACAAGAATCATATGATATAATAGTATATACGATATATCTGGTTCTATAATATAATCCGTTGGTGAGTCCGAGATCGATAAACTCCGACATCTTTGAACGATCTCCATGAAACTTGGCTAACCTCAGTGATTCTTTAATGCAGGTTTTTAAGCCGTTCCCTTTGCTGAACTTTTCACAAGATTGCGCTTGAGTTAAATGCAATTCTCAAACCTCCTTGGGTTCGTTATTGCTGGGCGTTGCTGTGTGTCGCGGTGCGGGTCGAGAAAGTCGGGACGAGCGGGCGGCCCGGAATGTAGAGAGGGCGAAAGTAAGGCTGAATTAGGAGACGACAGCGAGGGCACCCAGGTCCTAGAAGCACTGACGGAGCGGGAAGACGCCGGTGGGGTGTAATTCTGCTAGTATCAATACAAATTATATTGGTGCGTTTGTTTAAAAACAACTGTCGTTTAATAGCCTCATATGATGATTTACGCGATATAACACCTACTCGATTCTTTTTTAAATATATTTATCTGTCTGTCTGTGTGTCCATTCCTTTGTAGATCTGTCGATATCGAGAAAGCTTAAATATATTTAGATGAAGTGTTCTCAGAAGCGTTGAGTACATTGTCAGTCGTAAATTATGATATTTTTGTATAAATATCCTTTGAGAATCGTGATTGTATCTTTTGCAGCACTTTATATCCGACAAAATTATTTCTTGAACCAATTGACCAATCTTAAACTTAGTTTGAATGCAAGTTGACCGCAATGACCCTTGAGTAGTCAATATGTTAATTTAATTTACGACCAACTTAGTTGTCTCAAGGCATTAACTGGTGACACTGCAGTTCCTCTGATTGAGAGGTGTGAGGACTCTAGTCCAGACGGTGGCAGGATTTTCGTCACTTGCTACATAGCTAGGTCGAATTCGGCAGATGACTGAAAGAGAATTCTAGCGGTAGGCTGCAGTGATCAGTTGATTTCCGTGGTTTCTCCAATCAATGCCAGGCGAATGCCGGAGCAGTCACGAAGTGAGCACGATATTTCCTTCCAGTTTATTGTCCTATCCCCAACCCCTTACTAACGCACACTTTGCACACACTTACATTCACTACAATACCAAACATGTCGGGAGACCATTCGGGAGTTTGCAGCTTATCCAGACTAGGGAGATACCCAGTTGGTGAGAAATACCTGGTTGAGAAATAATCACAAGTCGTCGCCAGATCGCACCATTCCACGGGGGAAGAATACTCGAAATGATAAAAGCATGCACCAAACATACGGGACTAATAAGCAAACCAGTTAACCCGGAAAAACTCAATAATCAATAAAATAATTTACGTAAGTTTTCCTCTCCATTTTCTGAGGGTCATCGAACTGCGACCGACGTACAGATGCGGCGCAAGGCCGCCGGGGCGTTAGCGGCGATCTACAGCGGTAACTCGCAGAGATGACGATCAAGCGGCGGGAGGAGGGGCGAGACGTGGGAGAGACCGCGGGATGGTTGGCGGTCGGGGGGGGGGCGCCACAGCAACTCGAAGCTGGCGATTAGACATCGCCGCTGACGGCTCATTTTACATAGCAATGAGGCACATGCTAATGGCGTCGAAACAGAATTGCGGGGCGCGCGTGGTGGCGCCTCGGCGCGCCGCTGACGGCTGGGCGCCGAGGAGGCTGCCCGAAAGCGCGCTCGCGCGAGGGGCTGTGGGGGAAGCGGTGAGAGGGATGGGGGAGAAGGCGATGGCGAGGCCGGGGGTTCGCGGCGCTGGCAGGAAATGGTGAGTGGAACGGTTGGTCTGTACGTCTGAGGAGAAGAATGGCGCGTCAAGTGCTAAGGTCATTAGTCACGTAAGTGTAGTGCATGTTATTTCCTCGGGATGTGCTGGTGATTCTCTCCCGCTGAATGGTGAGATCCTACACTGACCTACCGTCAGCTAGATGGGTTTTCCCCAACCATGTATCTCCCACCAGAGTGGCAATGCCACCACTCGGGACGAGCTCTGAGCTCCCGATCGGTCAGCCACCATGTGTGGAAATGTGGTGCATGTAAGCGTAAATGTCTGTAAGTAAGTGGTGAGGATAGTACAAGAGGAAGGAAAGAAAGGAGATCCGTGTCCGTGACCCATTTGTTAGGGAATTGCCCCGACATTCGCTGGATGTTGATAGAAGAAACCACGGAAAACTACCGGTCAGAGAAACTGGCAGCTAGAATTCTGAAGAGGAACTGCAAGGTGTGATGGTATAATGATGAGAGGTACGGTATGGGGACAAAGACGAAGCGCGGCGGTAGCAGGAAATGGTGAGTGGAACGCTGTGCCTCTACGCTCGAGAAGGAGGAACGGTAGTTAATTGATTAGGGGTAGCTGAGTAGTAGAATTTGGTGAATGAAACGGTGACTGTATATCAGGGGGTGGAGTCTGGAGCGATAATGGAGGAGGGCACGGGGGTACAGACGATGACGAAACCAGGTAGACGCTGTGATAGTAGGAAATGGGGGTAGGAAGTTTTCTAACTTTCAGACATATAAAAGTTCTCGAAAAGAAAGGATAAATTAATGAGAGTGAGTGTAGAAAAAGACATCCTTAACTTTGCAATCCTTAACAGGTGTTTCTACTGAATTTATTGGTCTTTCTTAAAGGACGGTCATATTTAAAAGCCCACCTAGCAATAACTTTTGAAGAAATTAACAGTGCGAGTGCTTTTTAAATTAACACCATTTTCGAAGTGCGACCCCATGAACGGCTTTGGGGCGATGGAGCAGAGGCATTGTGTTGGCAGTGGTGAGGGTTCTTGTTCAGAGCGAATGTTTCACTCATGACGGCCAGCTGTCTATCAAATTTTCAACTAGATTCTGCGAGAGGCAGAAGGCAAGAGCTGCAGAGAGTAATTTCGCATTTCCTGAACAGAAGACGAGTTGCAACGAAGCGTTGCGTCTAAAATTGCTTCTCGAGAGACGTTTTTCTGACGCATTGAAACGCCATTGATTAATTTTTCCTCCAAGAAAAATAAAAATGGTTTAAGAAGCTCACTCTTCTCAACATGGTCATTTTAATCGTGCCGTAAACGGAATATTTTGTATTCTACTCCAATGAAGTAAAATGTGTTATGTAGTTGTTAAACAACTAAAACAGCTAGTGAATACATACACTTTGGTATGTTCCATGTTTACTTCTAATAACAGTGCCACAAATACTTATATAATTTAGCAACCACGATCCGCAGGACAATGTCTAGATTTGATGTCCTCTTCTCGACCTTTGATTAACTGACAGTAAGTGGAGGGGAGTTTGCCAGTGACAAAAAATCGTCCAACTGATTTACAAAAAAAGAAACAATAGTCATTTTTGTAGTAGTTTGCAAGAGATTGTAGTTGTCCAAAATGCTTAATTGGATATTTTTATCTAGGTGAAATAAGGCTCGAGTCTCGTTGATGACGTATTTTCTAGTAATAACTAGGTAGGTCCAATTTAACTAGTCTGAGAGGGAATGTTAGCTTGTTGGTTTTTTGGATTTCTCCAATCAAAACCACGCAAACGGAACAATATCTCCTGACGCGAGCTATGAACTGCACACGATATTTTCCTCAGCCCCGACAAATCCTTTCCCTCAGACACACAAGTACAATACTACCACAAATATAGGGAGGTCAGTCGGCAGCTTAAAACACGACCCGCCTGAGGCAGTGCCACCCTGGAGGAGATACCTGTAGAGGAAAACCCCGTATACTTGCAGTATCTCACGTTCCAGTGGGGGAGAACCATTGCCACCTCCCGGTTATGAAATGCACTATATTTACGATGCATCATAGTAGTTTATGCACTCAAAACAAAATATTTATTTATAGAAATGAAAAATAAAAAAAGGAATTCAATGAGGTAGCTGGATTGCAAAATTCATGTATGGAGTGTAAATATATTGTTACATACTGTGACATGTATTAATTGTAGTTTTGTTTCCTTGCAGATCTTATTGTTCAGCAAGACCAGTATTACAGCCCTCAATATGTCCATGCGTTTCGACGGTCGCTCGAAGATCCTGAAGGTTTCTGGGCCGAAGTGGGTAACTGCGTCACATGGGACAAACCGTGGACAAAAGTTTTGGACAACTCTCAAGAACCCTTTACTAAATGGTAAGCGACACAAACTTGATTGATTCGCCTTTTTCGTCTTAATGTAAGAAATTCACATTGCTTTACACACTTTCATTCTAATGTATATATAAGTTTAGAAAATAAATTCCTGGAATAGATATTTGAACAAAAAAAATTGAAATTTGTTGGCATTATGACAAATGTTTGTGTCTAAGAACAAGTATTTAAATGAATTCAAGTATTTATAATTTGATTAATCACTCCTTGAGTATTAATGAAAATTCTCATGCGTTTTCGATGTGATATAGTGCATTGGATTCAATACAATGTAGTGACAAGCTTGTTGAAGTATGCTTTGAATTTACAATTATTGTAAAGCAATGAACCAACAGTTGTAAGCAATCGCAGTTTCGGTCTATTCTACACTTTTCCTTAATTTTTAAATTTTTGATTAAAATTTCCTCAAAATACGATAGTCACTACTATAGGACATGTAGGTAAACTATTTGAAAATTATTCCAGTGATTTTTGAAAGTTGTTTCATCAAAAGTTGAACTTTACTGGTTCAGTTGTTATTCTTGTTATAATCGCATGCTGACTTCTTTTTGTTTGTTACCTAGAAGGAACTATTTTAAAGATCACAGATATATTTTACTTTTGTAGCTAGTTTAGAGGAATTATTCTAAGAAGAGACCACTGTGACAGGCCGGGAAGCAAATGAAAATCATCAGGGCGATGTCATTGCAAGAGATAGTGATGAAGCCATTTACAAATGAGCGAACTGTAAACGAACGCATTGACAAATTGAGTACATACACATAACTCACTGTGGCCAAACAGCAACAGTCAAAGTAGTTCCTTCTTATAGAAATATCTCTACACCTATGATCAAATGTTTAATATAAAACGTAATACACAATCTTCTCAGATATTTCCACATTATTGTGATAAAAACCCGGGTTACGTTGAAAGTGTGGCAAAAGTTAAGCATTCTCCAGACTATCAGGTGCAGCCTGCGATTTTGTAAAGAATGCTCTATATTTTGAGGGTACTTTACATAAAGACCCCAGGGACAACTCAAATTTTCTTCAAAATGGCTCTAATTTTTTTACTTTTTCGCGCTTAAGAAGGAACGTCTTAAGAAAAGAAAGTTATGTAATTCTGCACGAAAAACGGCAAATTTCGGCCGTAGAACAATTATTAGCCCTGGTAACGAAAATGTGGATACATGCAGATGCTATACTTAGGAAAAAATAGAATACCATAGTGTTTATTAATTTCTATTATATATTTTTCGACATATTTGTTTTTCAACGTTATCATTGTGCCTTATTTATTAACTTTTAAATATTTTACATTCTGTTTACTATTAGCACAAAATCAAATAATTTTTACAAAGAATAATTCCGAGAGAGATTGTGGTATAAATAGTAATTAATGACATGTTTATTGTTGTGAAAGTATTAGTAGTTATTGCGTAATTTTTAGTAACATATGGGCAATATTAAAAAATATTCTAAACGATATTTTCTCAAAATCAACTCCGTATGTTTTCTTCGATCATTTTGTAGGGGTATTTCTAAATGCATTGAATATCATGACAGTGACGTAATTTTGTGTACATTTTCCACTAACTTTCACAAATGATTTTAATATCTCTCACGCCGTTAATATTTACTATATTACCGGCAATTTGAATACATTACTGTGCGCATAAGTGCTGCAAATGATGTATTAAAAAATTCTCAAAATCTCAAAGTTTTGTTTGAAAATTAGTTAAAAATTCCGCATTCTCAGAAACGCTCACAGAACATTTTATCAAAAAACGGGTCCGCATTTTTTTCCCTTTTGTATCGATAGTGTTAAATGTGCTAAATAACATAATATTAAAGCAGTTTTGATATAATTTTTTTGATAGAACTAAATTCAAGTTTTCTTTAAAATTATCTCAAAACTGTTTTGAGATTGAGATTTTCCATTGCGACATTTTCTCAAAAATTGGTACAATCTTTTCAACGAAAATTTTCATTTAGAAATAGGAATATTACTTCACATTACTACCTACAGAGATTCGAGAAACTGAGTAAATGTAAGGAAATGGTTTTTTTGCAGCAATATGTATGCGGATAGGAAGATGGAGAGTCAGTACCCAAACGCTATTCCAGACAGAAGTAGATAAGAAAAGTAACTAGTAGGAGAGAGCATTCCATTCTATCGCACCATTATTTTGAAGATGCGATTGAGTGGACACTAAAGGAAAAATACAGATAATGGTACTAATATTTTCGGCTACATTCAATGTGACTTTCGATATATTTCGAGCTTTTACGAACGTATATATGCATATAGTAAGTTATTATATAGTCCATATATAAAGGTTATTATGTAGTGTTATAATTAACTTACCATGAGGCACTGTTGGCAATACACGGAAGCAGATGTCTTGTTTGTGCAATTAGGTTGTCGTTATAACAGTTTGCATAATTAAATTAAAAATATGGAAATGCGAGATTGTATGAAAAAAATCGTCTTACGACATTTAGACAAAGAGTTGCATTACTTTATTCGATATTATGACCACTGCCCCTTCGTCGCTCCAGTCAGAAACAGTAAACCACTATTACGATTGGAGGTGATGTATTTTGGAGAAAGTTTTGGGCGGTGTCATGGAAGCAGCTTTGTTATCCATTTTTCGTGTTGTGGATTACTCTTTAGTAAATGTGAATTATTGTCTGTATACTCTCCAGTAAAACAAACGACAAAATTCAGCCAGGAACTGAGAAAATGGACGTTGGGAAATATTCATTCGCGAATCGAGACTGGAACGGTTTGCCTATAACAATATTCGATCCCTTTCTGTAAAGCATGAGCAAATATAAAAATAAATTACTTTCCTAAATGTTGATATGTGTGTTATAAATACATTTAATATTATTCAGGGTAAGTAACCATGTCTTCTGTATAATTAAGTATTATTAGTATTATTATGTGTAGTGCAGTGGCGTGAAGTGCAGTGGCGTTGTGAAATTCAAGGAAACAAGTGTGTTTCGCAGTGCAGGGAAGTGAAGTGTGGTGCTATGAAAGAATGCACGGTGAAATATTCACGTTAATTTGTAAAGTTTGCAAATTTTGTAAAGTTGTTAAGTTTTGTAATGCTAATTTAGTGTATTCTGGCACCGAGTTTTCAAACTTAATAGCAGAATTATTAATAAAAATCTAAAATCTAAAAAAGTCTATTTTATACATCTAAGATTACAAATGAAAAGTTTTTGCTAAGTACGAAGCGGTAGAGGTTCTTTGAGAGGACGATTGAACTCTGTGACGTGTGGATATTTGAAATATCAAATTACGTGGGAAAATGTGAACGTAATATGTGCGTTATTTGTATTTATTGCACATCACTGCCTTAGTAATTAATTTGTAAAAACCTGTGCGAATAAAGAGACGAGCATTAATATTTATGAGTTTACATTTTTAGTGCATGTAATGAATGCATTCTTAGATTGAGCATAAGCTTTAATCCTAAGAATTTTATTACAGTGTTTTATTCGAATATTTGGTGTCCATTCATTGTGTTCAAAAATAATTGTTTTTTCGAAATAATCGTAGTAATAGTACCGTGGTGTCGTTTAGAAAATGTCTTCCACAGACACTCTCCCTCCTTTAAATTACGTTGTAGCATTTACCAGCATCCCTCTAAGATGAATGTTTCACATCAATCTACTTTATTTGTAAGTTAAATTACAGTCACTTTGATGAAAACTGTTTTTAAATATAATTCTTCATATGAAAAAATAAAACACATTATAATTAAAAATTAATTTACAGTTCGATATTAATACAATAATACATAATTCATAACGTAAATTTCCATATATTAATAATGTTGGTAAATTTAATAAAATAAGCAATCGGAATAAAAGAACGTGTAATACAAAAAATGTTGAGAAACCGTTTATTTTTCAGTAAACCCATCCCTGATTTCCTTTTCTCGGTTTCTTCTCATTTGTGGGATGCCTCCCCCTCCATTGTTGTTGCACTGGCTTACTTTCTTTAAATGCCTTTCTTGCTATTACGCGAGGTTTTTGCGCACTCGCAAACATTCGGTGCATTAAACTGCCATTGCACGTGAGCTGGGACACGTTTATCGACAATTTACATTTCTCCCTTTGTGTTGGCTAAATTAATCCACTCTTTCGCCCATTCGCTCATGACGCCCAGTCCTTCATTCCCCTCTACCTCACATCTTGCTTCTTGCTGTAAGGCGGCGGCGCGTCGACAGCCCCTTCTTCGCGATCGTCACTCGCCTCCAGGGCCGCCTGGGACGCGGTCGACAGCAGCCTTCACTTGTTAGGGCCACGTTGATCGCCTTAGACGCCGACAGCGTCACCCACCCCCTCAACGCCTTCCAGCCCGCCTCCCGCCCCGCCGAGAGAGATGGCAATTTGGTTTTCAGAGCAAAAAAAATTTTAAACCTTTTCCCCCCCCCACTCATATTTTTTTTTTTTTTTTTTTTTTTTTTTTTTTTTGCCCCCCCCCCCACTCACCAGCTTGCTAAGGCTTACCGAGTAACAGTTGCACAGAGCTTCCAAGAGAAAAAAAACATACCTTGGCCTGCCATTTCTGGATATTGCACCAAGCGTACGACAGAGTCTGGCATACGTCTGTTTATTTAAATAATGACAACTTGGAGTCCTGAGTATATTCAGAATATTATTAAAGGCTTTATACACTGATAGAAAATTTAAGGTCAAAATTAATCACTCTTTTCTACTCTTCGTAATATCACAGCCGGAGTTTCTCAGGGCTCAGTTCTCTCACCTATTTTATTTTATTATCTTCGTGAGTGACATACTCAAGTATTCCAACGTGGAAACGGCTCTTTTCGCTGACGATACTGCACTGTTTTCAGCAAGCTCAGATATTAACGTAGCATATATAGAGTTCAGAATAATATTAACATCCTAATACAAATGGACAAAAATGGAGAATCGCAATCATTTCAAAAATGTCAGACTAAGATATTTACTCTTAGGAGA